CACATGCATATTACATGCCGTAGCCTTGGGCTCTCCAAAGGGTGTGGGGATACTATACACTTCTATACACATTCCCATCTACCAAACTTAACATTGTCACCCCTCAGTTGAGGGTTCGCCGGTGAGAGGCAGTCATGTTGTTGCGCCCCGAAAGGCCCTACAACCACATGGCTGGACTGCCCTTGCAGCCGTAAGAACTGTGCCCCGAAGAGCCCGACAGTTTACCGTGTCATGGCGGGGACGCGACCTTCTAAAGTCAAACTGTACAGATTTCTACACAGACTAAAAGAGCCACTCAGAAGAAAAGGCATCATTGAAGGCGTGAGGAAACCTCATACACCGTCTGTAAAAGTCGATGCCATCTGAAATCGCGCACTTGTGTCGAAGGGGGTGGAGACCACTAACCCCATCAGCGGTACTACTCTCTCGGCAGTTGCCGGTATGCAAGCAGATAGCAGTTGGTCGTGATGGCCTGTTTAGTGGCGGCCGTGCCTGAGGTTGCCTGAGTATCATCATCATGCACGAGATGGGATGACCAAATGTCCTCGCTAGAGCCTGGAAAGTAAAAGGCTTGGTAGTGTCCAGCCGTGACTACTTTGCCCACATGGAGCACGCCTCCGCAAAGCATATACGGAACCTGTTCAACTGACCCTGCATGATCAGTGAACACTGGGATGTGCACTTTTTTCTGCAGTTGGAAGCTCTGTCTGTTTTTCCGTATGCCCCGCTCTGTGTGCAGAAAACGGCTGACCTGTAGGATCAAGGTGGCAGGCGGTCGAGTAAAGGCATGAATACTGTCCTTCATGTGAGCGTGCATAATGAAGCATGTGTAGCACAGAATTTGCATAGCACAGGTTGTGAGGGTTGTGCAGCATGAGAGCCCTGGCACCTGGCTCACTAGATATCGCTCCTGGCACTCGCCACGACTGTAGTGTGTCCAGATTCTTTTTTCCCCGATCTGCTGCTTTCTGACCTCGCTGTGTTGCCCCCGTGGGAGGCGGAGACCGCAGGTTCCCAAGTATGCCGTCCATCGCACCCTTTGGATGCTCCCCTATAGTTGGAGACTGCTGTTCAGTGACCTGTCTGGGAGGATGATGAGTCTCTGCATGCTTTGGGAGTTGAGGAGAATTCGGGCAAGCAGCATTTTGTCGGTCACTGATTACAGTCTGGCCCTTAAAGAACTGCGAGATGCTCTGTTGTTTGGCATCTTCTGGAACTTTGATTTGTGGGTGAGGCGGAGACTGCTTAGCACCCAAGGCCATGTCACCAGGATCTTGCTGACGAGGCGGAGCCCGCTCATCGCTTACAAGCGAAGTTTCTCCAGCTCCTTGGCAAGCGCGGTTTTGGAGACCCTTTCTCGGCGGAGTCTTAGCCCCACCACCTTGCCCACACTGTTGTCTGCTAGCAGGTCGAGGTCCTTTTGGATTTCTTCTCCCTTTTGTCGAATCGTGAGGGTGAGTAGCATCACCACCACTTCTGCGTGAAGGTCCGGTTTCAGTGGTTTGAGGCTTTGGAAGCGATGCACGATGTCGTCCTTCGCCGTGATTCTGAGAAGATTGTTTACCGCTCTCTTGGCCTCCTCGTGCGGCAGATTGTCCCGGCTTGAAGGAAGAGCTTTCTTCTGCTCTGCATTCCATTCCGTGTATGCCCACTGGAGCGGAGACCGCGTGATCCAGTGGGCTGCCTCCGCGGTCTGGAGAGCCTGAGTGTCGGCTTCGATTTTCTCGAGTCTGGTCTTCCACTCGAGAAGAAGGACTCCCCACAGGGTTGCACGCAACGACGTGGTGACACTGCCTGCCTCGTATTTCTGGTGCCAGGCTTGGCTTGCCTGAATCATCATGCCGATCAGGCCGTGGTTGCCCGTCTCCATGAAGAACACAAAGCTCCGGTCGGACTCGAGCGAGGTGAGTTGTTGCTCGTGTCTGGTTGCTGACTTGATCAGCACTTTCAGGATTCGTCTGATCGTCTCTTCGTCTAGCTGATCGAGGTCTGGCCACATCTCTTCGTCGGCCGCCTCTTCGTCTTGCTCTCTTTCCCTCTTGCTCTGAGTCGGCTTGCCCTTGCCCTGCCCCTTCCTGAACTTGTTTGGCTGTCCCTGGCTCTGTCGTGATCGGGTTGCATTCCCCTGGCGCAGTGGTGTTGGCGTCACCGCCAGAGGGGAGCTGAGGCCCCAGACCTGAGCCAACTGCTGTTCTGGCTCCAGCGGCACTTGCTGTCCAGTCATGGCGTAGACTGAGTTGGAGTAGTGGGAGGCACTTCTTCCTATGCTCTTTGGCTGACTTTTGAAAATGAACGTCACACCACGGGCATGGTCTGGAGAAGTGGGCAGACATCAAAGTGACCGAAGTCCCTATGGCATCCAGCAGCTTATTCTGCTCCTTATGATTGGCCTTGGCATGTCGCGTCCATGCCTGGATGTCCTGCATCAGCTCTCCACACTGTAGGCAGTGTGATTTGGCAACAATTGCCATTTGTTTCAGGAGTGGATAGTCTGATGATGTATCCGGGCTCACAAGGCACTCTGCAATACTGTTTTGCAGCTGAGGCTGAGGCATAGGCCAGGTGGCAGGCAGTTGCACAGCCGGCGTCGCGGAGTCCGCTTGTCGCCACACCTGAGCCAGGATGAGTTGAAAGAGGACCGGACATTGTGAGCAATGCCTGTCCACTCCATGTACCATCTTGTCACACCATCTACACTGTTGATCTCTCGTTAGCAGGTACTTGAACTTGGTGCATGCAGTGTGTAACGCAGCGTTGATAGAGGGGGCTAGATCCTTATGTATTCGCAGGATGTGAGTCTTGATCATGCCCGACTCGGCAATCCATCGTTGACAGAAGCCACAGTGCTGCTTCAGGTAATTTCTGTGTAGGTCGGCTTGTGCGATGATGCCTTCATGTGTATGGAGTTGTTGGGAAACTGCTGATTGCTGTAGCAGAGGCTTCGATGCTTCTTCTTCGGATGCGGAGGGCCGCTCCTCCGAAGAGTCTGGCTTGGGTTTGGCAGGACCAGGATCACCTGACGGCGGGCAGGCTTGAGCCTTTGTGTGGGCATGTGCCTCCTGTGTGTTTGTGTGCGTAGTGTTCCCTGCTACACCAAGTGATGGCAGTGTGTACCAGTTGCAGACATTCTGCATGATGTGTCCTTTAAGTGATTGCCAATTGTATAACTTCATAGAGTAATGCTTGCATTGTGGCATACCAGCCACTGAGTGCTGTTCTGGTTTGTACTCAATGTCAAGCTTGTCAGCCTGGATCTGGCCATGTCTCAGCGCCTGATGTTGTCGTAGAGCCTTCTTCGTGGGGTAGTACATGCCGCATGTGGGGCACGCGTGCTGTTCCGAGGTGGGTATTTCCACTAGGACATTACTGGCAGGAGTACTGGCCGCTTGTTGAAGCTGGGCTTTCAGTTGATGCCAGTACTCAGGCACTCCTGGTCCCCTGATGGCAGGGTCTCCTTGGTTCTGCTGAAGTTGCTGGATCTTCTGATCAACGCGCTGTTCCAGGACTGCAATAGGGTCTGTAAGTTCATATTGTGCTCGGAGATCACTATTGCTGACCTTTGTTAAATGCGCAGGCATTTGTACTGTTGCACGTAATTGCCTATGAAACCATGCCCTCAGTTTGGTGATCATGTGGCTGTTAAACTGTACAGTCAGGAGGCCGTACATTGCACTGCTGACAACACAGGTACACCATACCCGTACACGATGGAACCTGGATAGGCCCTTGCGTGAGCGGATGCTCTTTTTTAGCGAAGAGTTTTGCCCGCGGCCTCGGCCAGCCTATACTCAAGAGTAGGGTCTGAGCCTTCTTTAAGGGAAATTTTTGTGCCAAGATAGGTGATGGTCTCGCTTAAAGGGATGAGATGTTGCTGTTTTCCACTTTGTAGTCGCCAGTGCGGCTGATTTTTTCTCAGGACCGCGCGACTTTTCACCAATTTTGTCAGCTGTGTTCCCTTAACCTGAATAATCATGTGAGACTTCTCAGGGTTGACTTTTAACCCGTACGACTCAAGTGTATTGAATAGGGCAAGGATGGCGGCCTCCATCTGATGTATGTCTTGGGTTGTTTTGAGCTGCCAGTGACCTAAGTGGTCATCCGCAAACAGGGTCCACGGGAGCTGCATTGGAGTGGCTTCTGCTGGTGTCAGGTCCCAAAGCACCTGCGATGACAGGATAGACCATAAGGCTGGGGCTAATCTGCAACCTTGGCGGATACCTTGTGTGGTTTTGATTTTTGTGGAATGGTATCTGTCGCTCACTTGATAGGCAGCTTCGTCATGCATTGCTGTTACTGTTATCGTCGAGCGTAGGTTTACATCAACTTGGTGCTGGAGCAGGGCACGATCAAGTTTTGCTCTGTTCGCTCGATCGAAAGCCTGGCTAAGGTCTACCGACAGGAGGCATCCCCCTGCCTCGCCCACCTGGCTGCCAGCCTCTTTTCGATCCCGGACTATAAAGCCGTTTCCACCCAAAGCTTTAAGACCCTCCTTAATGGCAAGTACACATGTGTCAACCCTTGCTAGGGCATCCGTCGTGTCACGGTTCGGAAGGTATGCATACTGGGGCGTGTAGGCTAGACTAGGTCCAGCCTGAGTAAGGACCAGGTCCTTGACGTGACCGGCCAGAGCCTTGCCATCGGGCCGGAGTAATCCGATGGGTCTGAGTGCAGCTGCTGTGGATGGGGCTTGAATAGGTTTCGGTAAGAAACACAGCTGTGGGTCACGCCATGCTGTTGGCAACTCTGCACATACCTGGCTGAACTGTGTACAAACCTTGGCTAACGCTGAGGACAGTACTCTGGAGCATGCTTTCCACGCTGTGGCCGGAGCGGAGAGGGACATGGGTGTGCCATCGGGGCGCCGAAGCATGATTTTTGGCCTAGGTTTCCAGGGAATCATGCGTTTCACAATCCCAAAGAGACGTTTAGTATTGTGTTGTTGGGCAGCCCTTTCCGCTAGTTGCAGGTTTCCAAGAGTAGCTGCTCGCTGGTTCTGAGTGTGGTACTGTTTACTTTGGCGACCTGCCTTTATGTAAAGAACCAGCCATTTCCATGTCCGAATAATTCCCGAGGCATCGTAAAGCCTACTCTTAAGGAGGTCTTTTCGGCGTTGCCACATGTGATAAACCTGAGTGGGCAGAGACGGAACAGATCCTCCCTCCCCGTCTGGCAGCGTAAGCTGTTCCTTCCACGCAGTGAAGAAAGCACGGAGCACCGCCATGGACTTGCTTCTTCCCTGTTTCCCCCGGGACAGTGCAGGGAAAATTTTCACCACTGCCTGGACAAGCGTTTGGTTAAGCATCTCAGCAGTAGGCATCTCAGTGCGTTGCAGTCGTCTCTGAGTCTGGTGCTGGAGCTCCTGTATGCGTGGGTCGTTGCGCCTATAAGCATGGTCCAGGTCTTTGACCGCATAGTTGGCATTTAGCTGTTTGGCAGGTCGGGGGAGGTGGAAATGTCTGATGACTCTAACATTCGCAATGAGCGCTTGGTGTGCCATCTCCTTCCAAGCTCCAAAGGGTGCAGGTTGCTTGAGCACCTGCTTCGATAATGGGTCTGCGCTCAGGACACGAACCATGACGAAGTCAATCTGGGAATTGCCTGTGCGGGTGTAGTTGGTACACGGGTCCTTCATGTGCCAGGTATTGAGAACAACCAAGTCATTTTGCTGGACAAACCTGGTGAGGGTATGCGGGTCAAGGGCCTTATGGTATTCAGAACTATGCAGACTATGCCCGACGAGTCTAGGCGTGTGCTGCACCTCAGAATTAAAGTCCCCTGCCAATACGAGTGTGTCACGATGTGCCATCCCCTGAATTGCAGCTGTGCATCTGTCCAGTAGCTGTTGTCGTCGGTGCTGGTTTTGTTTAGGCTCATCTGTATGAACCCAGACATGTTGATACACGTTTAGGGTCTCTATCGCCGCATCTTCCTTGCATACCTTGACCCTGAGGACTCTGCCGGGTATGATCTCTTGGTCTCGGACAGTGGAGGCATCGTATTTTGGGTTAACCAATGTGAGAATGCCTTCGCCTCTCTTCGTGGCCGAGCCAACGGCTGTCCATCGGTCAATTTGAAAGGTGCTGGAGGCTGTGCGATGGGTTTCTTGGAGAAAGACAAAGTCGTACTGAAGTCCCTCTCCACTCAAGAAGACTTTAACTTCACTCCACAAGAAACCGCCCAGACTGTTCACATTGACTGACAGTATTTTAAGTCTCTGTGTCTGGCCTCCTCTACGTCGACAGGCAGGTCGACGCTTGTGTCCGGTAGGGTTGTGATCTGACATGGCAGTGTGGAGACCCAACTGACTGCCTGGCGTTTGCTTGCCTTTATAGAGAGTGTGGTTTTGCTGATGTTGTGCGCATCGTCTCTGTGCTCTTCTGAAGCTTCTCTTAAAGCCTGTAGCCTCCATAACACGTACGGCTCCGTTCACCGGCGCTGTGGTGCCGCCTGGTGCATGCTTCCCCACCACGTGTGGGCCTACGTGTCCTGTTGGTTTGGGTCCCCCCGTCCCTGCCGGGACAGGAACCCTCACCCCCCCCGTCAGGGTGATGCTTTTCATGAAAAATAGCAGTAGACGGAGCCCGGACTTGGGACCGGGCAAGCCGCACTGATTGCGTGCATTGCTCGTCGTCGTAACCTTGGGTTCAAGCTTAGGAGCAGTTGCATGGATGGAGAATTCTAGTAAGGATCTTGCAGACTGAAGGCATCGCTGATAGGCTCCTGAGCTTCGATACAGCTTTCTGCTGAGCGTCTGCTGCAATCTCCTGCGCCGCATACCTGATGGCCTTCTATAGGGCCTGTGCCGAGGACGGCTTTGGCGGATGCGCCACCGTCGTCTGCGTTTGCCTATGCATTCGCACTGTGGTGCATGTGCAGGCGTATGTGTGTGGAATGTTGGGTACAGAGTGCTAATGTGGCTGCTCAATCGACTTCTTTTTGCAGCCTCTGGCACTATGGGGTCTCGGGTGGACATCATTGTGCCCAGCTCCTCAAATGGAGTGGAGTCCACAATGCATTGAGAGCGTCCCTCATCCGCAATCCTGGACCCAAGCTTGGGTCCACTGGTCGAGGTAGTACGAAGTCGAGAGCCCTGCATTGGCACGGGATGGTCTACCTCTCCATCCTCCAAGGGCAACGGGTCTGCGAAGCAGAGCCAGCCGTCCAGTTTTTCGGCCAATGTCATCCAGGATTGCTTCCAGGTCAGGCGATAGTATATCGTTGCTGGAACATCATGGAGGAGGGCATGAAGATGCGTGGCTAACGTGGCCCAGTCGTCCACCAGAGTCAGCGCGGATGGTGTCTGGGCCTGATACACCGTGAACAAGTAGCATTCCATGGCGTCCCCTAGGGACCCCTCCTGCTGACGGGCCCCTAGGCGCTGGGGGCCAACCACCAACGACGCACTGAGCGACCACAGCCAGTTTCCGCAACTTGGGGTACGAAGTGGAGCATCGAATGGTACTCCATCCTCGCGTAGCGCGCGGCCCTCCCGGGCCTGATGATACTTGTTATGGTACTGGCGGAAGGACCCTTGATCAAGGAACTGCATCAGGTCATGGATCGTTTCGGGTGTCCTCAGCAGTTGCCCGGCTGTCTGAGCGTCGCCAAAATGCCTGAGCGAGCGGGTGCTCGCTGATGCCCGAAGCATATCAGTGCAGTGCCTCGGCTCTAGCGTCCTGGAGCGCCGGGCCGCGGAGCCGGCAGCTGCCTCTTCAACCCCCGCGGACCCCCCGGCTGGGCATTGCCTGCATCACGGGTGTGGGTGCGGGCCTCAACTCGCCTAGAGTCGACGCCGTCGTGGATAGCGGGTGTGCATCCGATTGCCAAGGATCGTCGGGGTCGCCTTCATCCAGAGTGGGCTCCTCCGTTGTACTCGCAGTTAGCCGTTGGAGCCGCAGCCCCCGTGGCTCCGCAGGATCAGCAGTTGGCTCCGTCTGCGTTTGAATGCTGAAACATATGGCAGCGTCCGTCTGCGTGCTTTGCTCCTTGGTGACGCCAGTCCGAGGCAGTTGCGATGGATGCGGTAGGGCAGACAAGAAGTTCAGGATAGCGTTGGCTTCTCCCGGTGGCAGCGAGGCCAGCAACTGCAGAGCCATCCGTACGTGGCCTCCAGCTTGGTCGGCATGCCCGCCCAGAAGATCAGACATACTGTTTCGATCCATCGCCGCCTGAGGGGCGGCTGATGTGGACGCAGCAGAGCTCTCCTCATCCTGGGTGCTTTCCCAATGCCAGTTGCTGGAGTGTGGAGTCCACGTCCTCCAGTTCCCCCCCTCCGTCCATTGGGCCTCCGTATACCATGAGGAGTCCCATTGATTTGCCCACCACCACGACTGAGCTGTGTCCCCTCGCCGATCTTCCGGCTGCGTGGGCTCCTGGTGCTGCTGTGCTCTGGCTTTCGCCTTGGCTACCGCATCATTTCTGAGCTCCTGCAGTTGTCCCATGGCTTGCTCGCCGCTCTCCCTCAGTCTAGAGGGTAGGCGGCGGGACGACCGGAGTTGCGAGCTCGGGCTGGGCATGTGTGAGTCTAGCTGTGGGCTGTGGTGGCTTCCAGTATCTTTACTTGGCTGAGTAGATCGAATGCTGTGATATCCGCAGGGCGAGGAGTCCGATGGATGCAGTTGGGCGACTATTTGCTCGATAGGAGCCCTAGCATATAAGGCAACCGGAGAAGGTGATGGTATGAGCTGGAATGTATTGACGCGACCCTGCTGTCCCTGGGGGGCCCTCGCAATGCAGCGATGCAAGTGGAGCTGATTAAGCAAGGCATCACTGCACCATCTCTTGACAGCGACCAATGCACACCGTCAGATCCCACCTCGAGACGTGTCGCGATGCATCCAAAGACCTGGGCATGTGGGAACTTCGTGCGCAGGGCGGGCAAGTATGAGGTGAACCCGGGTGGAGTACAACAAGGATTAAGGCAGTTGGGAAACGGTATCCAACTCGCATGCTTACGGGTTTGGGCGGGGAGGGCAAGTGTGCAGCTGGTACCATTTCGCCGGCCTTTTTTCTCGGGACTGGCACGGAGTCTGCTTGCCTCTGGCCTTTTGGAGGGCCTCTTTGACCATGTCAACCGTGGGGAGCTGCGTTTCATCTGGTGTCTGGATGGCCCGATCGGTTCCCACGATCTGTACCTCAAAAATATACTTCGGCAGCAGCCAGCCGTCTTGTCCAGGTGTGAGTAAGACCCGGTTGTGCGACTTGTAAACGGAGATCCCGTCTCGCAAACACCATCGCAGATCTACCCAGATCATCAGCTCGGACCCGTTCCGGAGTCCTGACCGTTCACCGGCTCGACCCGAAGCCGCGGTGACCGCTTCGCCATCCACAAAGTGGATATGCTGTCGCAGCCCACGATGCAGACCATTGGCTCTGATGCTGGCATAGTTGGCGAGCACTGTTCCATGCACGGCCGTCTCGGGGGCGTTCCTCACAGAGATTTCCTGTAACATCTCATTGTCAGAAAGGTTGTAATGTCTCACCAGGCTCCTGCTGTGGCCTTGCACTGCCCTGACCTTGTCTGTTCCAGCCTCGGTGAGAAGCTGATACCGGCCTTTTTTGTTGGTCCGGATCGCTTGCTTCACTTCTTCGGGTGCCACTTGATGCTGCCAAAGGGGCTGAGCAGTTATCAGGTCCAACAAGGGCACGTAACCTGCTGTGTTCATTGGTAGGTCGTGGTGATGGGCTTCGTGTCGAAGTACCCTGGAAAGGGCATGTGAGATCAATTTCTCACGGCGCGGAGCCAGAGTGAAGGACTCCGGTGGGGAGGCCGCTGACCGGAGCCCTGCACTGGTTGCACTGCCCTGGTTCGAGTCCTCCTGCTCGCAGCCTGCGGAGGCGAACGAAGTCGCGCACGACCATCGTCGGCTCAACTACCTCAATCCACTCTGTATCGCCCCCGGCAGTGTGGGCCGTTGAAGACACAAGCTCATGGCTCATGGTCCCGTGTGGTTCTGCGGGACTTGTAGGGTCTCGGGACGGGCCAGAGACCTCGCTTCGTGAGGATCGTCTCCTGCTAGCAGCTGGCAGTCTGGTCAACGTCCCTATGCCCTAATGGCCTCCGTGACGAAGAGGACGGCACAGTGGGGCGCTCCGGCGCGGAATCCGCAGACCGGAGCGAGACCGTCGACTCTATCTCCACCTCCACCTCTACTTCTTCATCGTCTCCTTCGCCTAGCGGCGTCTCTGGGGCTCGTCCAGGAGTTCTCCTTCTAGACTGGCCTGCACGCACTTCTGTTTGCCGGTCACGCGCCTGGGCAGCTGCCCGCGCCGCCTCTCGGAGTTGTCTCAGTGCGCCCACGGGCTCGCCCCCGCCGTGTCTGAGGTAGGATGGTGGACGTCTCGCGGACTTCCTTTTAGAAGGAGGACTTGGCCTTGCGCAAACACTGTCGTGAATAACCTTCTGGACTACCTATCCCTGGCTGCTGGCTTAGCCTTGGAGACCACTCGCCCTCCGGGTCCACGATCTACAGCTGGCCTGAGCGTGCAAAGGCAGGCTAAATGCCGTAGTGAAAGAAGCTTGCCAGTGGTCATGGCTGGTTAGTCTGCTAACAGCATGCATCCTATTGTGGCTTTTCTGCTGCAGCGCACTCACAGCTTCAAAACTTCGCAGGGCGGAGACCGCACTCCTGCTAGAAAGGATCCGGGCGTCCCTGGAGACGTGCCACGACCAGCCTGGCAAACGCTTCAGGCACTGCCGCACTCCTGAGAGGATTCTCCTCCCTGGGTGTGGAGGCCACAGACCCATTAGACGGACCCTCAGTAGATGTGGCTGTGGCCCCGCTCTCTGCACCGTCTGGCTTGGGCTTCTTGGCCCTCTTTGCCTTGGGTTCCTCTGCGCCCTCGCACGTGTGGGATCTTGTCGTCGTCTGCGACACCAGTGAGATGAGTGGCCTATCATCCGAGTGGCTGGCCCCCTGCCGGTCCTCCGTTGTGCTCCGTGCCGGCATTGCTGCAACAGTACCCCAAGACTTGAAAGGGAGCCGTTGGCACCTAGGGGAGGGCTCTGATCCAGCATCGTGACCAAGTGGCTAATGCAGTTAAGGCAGTGCAGGAGGTGTGCATGCGATTCAGATGGGTGACTAGGATGCAACACAGCACAACTATGCAGCCTCTCAGGGTCAAGCCGCCGTGGTCTAAGCTGGACAGAACCTCGGTGTGCAAGGGATCGACAGACATGAACTTGCTGGGGATGGCAGTGGCTGAGGAACATTAAGTGACCTGGCCGTGGCTGCTGCGAGACATCTGACCATTTTCGTCTTTCGCACTCATGCTGCAGTCTGAAGCAGCAAGGACAGCGTAGCCCGGCCTTGACCAACATTTTTGCCACCCGCCGGCTTTTCGGGCGCGGAGGCCGCTGTCCTTCAACTTGCGTGTCCTTCGCCACGCTGCTGCTCGTTGGGCGCGGAGACCGCTTGTCCTCAGCCTTGATGTCCCTGCTTGTCGAGGCTGCCTGTGGTGTTACCTCTGATGGCGGGGGATCCTCGGCATCTGAGCTGGATTTGCCCAGGATGATGTCCGAATCTATGCTGGACGCTCCTTCAATCTCACTGTATCCACGGCTGTCTGGTGACCACAGGACACTCATCGGGGCAGCATCATTCTCCTCCAGCGAAGCTGGAAGACTCTGTTGCATAGCATCAGTGGTTGCCCCTGGTGCTGGCGAGGTCAGCAGGCCTCGTTGGACTGGCAACCTGATGGGAGTGCCTGGTCTCGGCCCTGGTGTCGGCCCTTCGCACTGCATCTGTGGCTCCGTTGGCCCTGGGGGCGCGGAGACCGCCAACCCCCTTTCATCTAATGCTGTCCGCTCCCTCGCGATGGGCAGGCTGATCGGCGTGCCTGGCTGTGGTCTGCGATCCATGTTTGCAGATGTGCGGGAGCTGTCTACCGAACAACCATGAGACCCAGCCGGCTTGATCCACCCCCTGTGCATACCCAAGGGAAGGAGGGTGTAATAAACCAGAGCTCTGGAATGCAGATGTGTGGCGGATTCTAGTGTGTACATCACACAACTGCTGAGATGCTGGCCCACTGGCTGACTCCCTGTGTGTCGTTCGCTTGACTGGTAGGCCTGAGCTGGCAAGACAGGCATTGGAACTGTCTGGTAAAGTTGACTGCTAAAGGTCACAACCCAGGACTCATCCCCGCAAGTAGCGGCTCCTGTTCGGGATGGTTTTATGCCTGGACCTAGCCTCGGTTGACTGATGCACCTTCGAGGGGTGGAGTCCACGATCCCCGGGATATACACTGACCTGGCAGTTGAGTAGCTGCAGCTGATCCTTAACAGCTGTGGTGGGTTCAGTGGCGGACCAGGAGTGGAGGCCACTCGCCCTTGAGCCTGCCGGAAGGTAGGATGCACCACGCTGAAAGTTGAGCTGCATCTCAGGGTTCCGCAGGTTGTGCGGGGCACCGGGTCGCTGTGCTGGCAATCCGTGACCTCAGCAAGGCTTATGTTCCATTCTGTAGGTGTTATGGAGGTCCCTGTACAGGCCGTGGCAGTTGAGGGCAGCTCCTGAATGCAACCAGGGCTGAGCAAAGATATGCAGCGAGCAATCTGTGCTCCTGACGGGAGCGGAGGCCACTCGCCCTGCACAGCCCGCCTGGTGTGGAGTCCACTCGCCCAGAGGCTCACCGGATCTGGCTGGCTGCGCGCTACTGGCTTTGGTATGCTGCAGCTTAAAGGTCGTGTTCATGCTGGGAGTGGAATCCACTAGCCCTAGCCATTGAGCAGTCCTGCCTCCGGTGGCTTCGGCACACATATCAATCCATGGCAAGCAAGTCAATGACTGTTTGTTTAGGCTTGCTCGGTTGATCGGCCCTAGCGCGGTCCTCTGCAAAGCCACGGGCGATTCTGCCCTCCACATCCACTCTGACTCCATTGATCCACAGTCCCCCTGGAAAGTTGTTTGGGCGTTGTGAAATCGTCGGCTCCCCTTTTGCCTTGCAGTCAGCTTCTGTGCTCCCAGTTTGCTGCATCTTGTTGTGAATTGAGGGCATCGCAATGGACTCAAGACAGCGAAAAAGGAAAAGCCAAGCAAAATCTTCCACAAAGTTCCAAGGACCATGCGGCGCGCGCTTTCCTAAACTACCCGGGGTGCTGTTGACCCCCTACAACGACGAGCAAAAATTCACGCTTGAGCCGGGGGCTTAGACACGGCGTCCGAGACGTTCGCCGCCGAAGGAACCCGGTAGAACTCGGGCAACCATTGGCGATCAGCTGCCAATCCCGTTGACAGAGGCATCCTTGCCATAGCCCTTCATGAGGGCGAACTGCCCCGGGACGTTGTCGATGAAGGCAATCCAATGTGGGGGGCAGGCGCCGACGAGAGGCAAGACCTGGGCGACGATCTCCAGGACTTAAATGAACTCCTTTCAAGTGGCGAAGGGGGCCAAGTGCGCTGGTTTGATGACGCCGAAGTCGCAGAAGAACACGACGAAGTCCCAGCCATTCTGCGACCGGGACCCCCGCAAAACTGGCTCGCCGGGGTCAGCCGAGCCGGCGCCGTGTCCGTCGCTCTGCAGTAGACCATCTAGATGGCCGCTCGGCCATTGCACCCGAAGGTAGCCTGGGATATAATGTCAGGCGCCTCGCCAGGCACGAAAACGCGTCAGGCGAAAGCCGGTCGTACTGCAAGGCCTCGTCGATTTGAGCCAAGATGCGGGCCTGGCGCTTCGCAGTGGCAGCAGCTTTCGGGTTCCAAGGAGAGGTCGACGCCCTGGACCACGTGCTCTTTGGCGGGCGCGTGCGCCTTGGAAGGCTTGGTCTGGAGGCCAAGCAAGGCGAAAAAGTCAGTGACTGCGCAGTGGGCCTCGTCGGAGAAGAGCGCGTCCTCAGTGCCGTATGAGCGCAGCAGCAATGAAGGTGCGAATGAAGATCTCGCCGTCAGTTTGGACCGCGGCATCGCGATAGGCGAATGGATCCAAAGGGGCCAACGCCCGAAGGAGGCGATGTAGGCGCCCCCGTTCGCCTTCGACCATGCCGCCCGACGTGGGCTGCACGGCGTTGCGTTCCCCTCCATAGGCACCGACGTCGGCGTAGTCGGCGCCACCATATCCACGCCCGCTGCAACCGCAAAGTCAGCGGCGAACGCAGCCTCAATGACGTTGGGCGCAGACGAACCGGACGAAGCCATGATGCGACGAGAGGTGAAAGGCTGAGGGGAACTCGAAAAAATATGCGGTCGAGCCGGGTTGCTTCGGCCGACCTCATACATTTGTTCCTACATGTATGAATGCACTACACAACAATCAATGGCAGTGCAGAGTAGAAGACGGAGTCCCAAGGAGCCTTCTCCTTCTTTTCTTTCTTCTCCTTCTCCTTCTCTTTCTCCTTCTCCTTCTCCTTCTTCTGCTTTTTGTCCTTTCTGCTCTTTTTTGGTTTTGCTGATTCTCCTTCTGTACTGGCCTCACCGTCGTCATCCTTGTCGCTGTCCTTGCTGACACCCCTAAACATCATCAATGCCCAGCGATTTGCAGAGATGCCTCCTTGGCTTTCTTCTTGGGCTTCATCTTGGCTTCGCTGTCTCGCTCGCTGGAGGCCTGGAAAGAATGGACCGCACATCGCACATCTCTTTCGCCCAAAACAGGCCTGGGCCTTCTGCTTGCCTTTTCTCTCCTGTTCTGCAGCATGCTCTGAGGCTCTGAATGCATGAAGGAATCAAGGCCTTTTTTTCGAACATTTACGTACTGGCCTGCCACCAACCAGACTTAATCGTTACTGTATATGGTTTGGAGAAGTTTCCAAACTTGGATCCCCGAATGCGGCGTGCCATGCAATATGTCCTGAAAACCTTGCACGACATTCGTGACGTTTGCATGCTTCGTTGCTAGAACCGCTTCTGCATAACACCGTGCATGCAAAGAGGTCAGCCTCTGGCTCCAAACAAACTCAATGCCGCACAACTTGTGAATAGTGCAATGCTGCGAACAAGCATCTTCAAAGCTGCAGTTGGGAGGTGTTGATGCTGAACTCCATGCATTGTGATCACCGTTCCCTGACAAAGATGCCTTCGAAAACACGCACAAGGCCCCCTACAGTATGTCAAGAGCTTTCCCCTTGGTGGTCTTGATGCTCCTGGTTTATCCTCTCACGAACAATGGCCAGTCCTGTATGGAAGGGAATAGTCACCCCTAGATGCATGAAACACTGCGAAGCCATGCAACACAAAAAGGCAGACTCACAGATGGCACACACCTGCTAGCACGCAGGAAGAACGAGACAGCACGACATCCGTGAGGAGCACTGCTCAAGGCTGAGATCTCACATTGCTGCGCTTCAAAATATGGTCACCTCACAGCTCACCTACTTGACTAAGGCTCCTGTTTCGTGTCAGACAAGATCAGGGCACATGTCCAGCGCTCGAGAGCCCCTCCTTGGCTCTTCGCTCTGCTCGCTCCTCCTCGACCTTGGAAGAGGCCGCGAGGCAGAGCGAAGCTAAGCGCGGAGAGGTCCCCCCTCTGCCGGCAGCGACCTTCTCTCGCGCCTTCAGCCGCGCTTTCGATGCTGCTGCTTTCCTTGCATCCTGCATGATTTTGAAGCATGGTGCTTGCGAGTGTAACAACTTATCAGAACCTCCTCGCTCGAGTCGGATGTCGAATCATCCTGCGCAGGCTGTCGGTCTGGAATCCAAGAAAGGCTTGCAAGCTTGGACCCGGGCGGAAGAGTCGCTGTCGGAACTGCTGCTGTCCTTCGAGTGGTCAAACACAGCTTGATGCGACGGCTGGGCAGGAACGGCATGAGTGTAAGCTGGCCCTCTTCATTGGTGGTGGCGGATAACCTTGCAAGAACAGTGACGCAGAATGGATCCACCAATTAGATCGCGCCCACACCTGATCCTGTAAATGGCCTTGAACCACTTATCACTGCCGCCTACGGATTTGAAACCCACTATTGGATAACTTGGACAACTGCCTGTCAGCCATTGCCTCCGTGGAGTGTTTACTCTGAGTGGCCGGACCCCACCACGGGAAATATCCGGAGTAACCTCGCAGCGGCGCAGCACCCGGATTGCAGCAGTTCCCTGATACCGTCCCAAGAGGCACACCGGGGTAGCCAGGATAGCCAGGGAAGCCTGCGACAAAAGGCCCACGAAACAAATGTGTTGAATTTAGGTCCCGCTGGAAGAAAACCAACTCAGACAGGCTTGTCAACGCGAGCAGAGCCGAAGGAACTAAACTTGCGGTTGCCCTTGCAGCTAGTTCGCCCATCAGCAAATCAACCAAGCTGCATTCAAATCAACCGCATTAAAAGCTGCACTTTGAGCACAGGCGTGCAAAGCCGACGAATGCAACATCACGCAACATCCATCATGTCCGTCTTTGCATGGCTCCGTGCAAGCCCACGCCTGGTGGGACGAAAGGCCTGGGCAAGCATAGGGCTAGAATAAAGTTGATCAGCACCAAAATCCAGCCACATCGGACCCACATAGTCCTACAAACCCCTTCTCGCTGTCTTCACACCCTCACATTTTCCATTTCCACCACACATTGCATACAGGATGACGCCTAATGGTTTCCTCTTTCTGCGCAACACGGAGCTAGCTTGCGGCACAACATCGAACATGCACGTACTGCAGAACTTCCTCTTCTCACACCACGGACTGAATACTCGACCGCAACCGCTCCACGACTCCTCCTCAGCTGTTTTGTAATGCCGTCAGATCGAGCGGGAGTCATCACGACAATTTGTTTGTGCAAAGACGAAACACATCATCAAGTCCCGGATGCAGACTGGGCACATAGTGTAGGGATTTTAGTATTCCACGCTGTTGAGGCCTTTAAGTGCGGATTTTGGATCCGCCTCGCCAGGCGACACTTTTGTGTTGCTGTGCCAAAAAGTGGTGGCGCACATGAAAATCAAATCGCTCAACTGCCCTTTGCGACGGTCTCGTCCAAGGCCTTACAAATCATCAACATATCCAGGCTTGAAGCCTTGGACACTTTCCCATTCAAGCCATGGCAGTCCATGCAATTCAATTTGGCACACCCGGTGTTCGGACTTCAGGCCACTTCGGGCCGATGCACAAGAGGAGGAGTGTTGAAAGCCTAACCCTCGGTTGCGAAGCCAAGCGCAATCTTGTGGGACCAGCGAGCCTTCGGCTCTCGAGCCCAAATAGACTTCCGCATCTCTCGGCAACTACGCAGGTAGGCCCATGGCTGCTCCGGCCTGGGTGTACTGCATCGCCGACAGTGACTGTTCCTGCTTCAAGGGCAGATTCAAGGAAATGAGAAATGTCACGAACGTCGGTGCTACACGTCTGTAGACAAGCGAACACAGTGGAATGTCGTGGATGACATGCATAGCTGCGACTGCATGTGCATGGAGACAAGTCCTCGACTTTCTAAAGAGTATCACAACAATGGCATTAGGACGAATGGCCCGTTCTGCACAGCATTAATCAAGATCACATCTCGAACTGGACATCGGAAGTTCTCACTTCAGTTCTTGCCCATGTCTTACTCTGAAGGAAAGCAAAAGTCAAAAGCCCCACCCTGTCCTTGCAAAGACAAGGTCTTGGCAGTTGGGACAAACCCAGTCGCCAGACATCATTGCCTGCCCAAGCTCAGATTAAGGGCACATCGTGACATTGAAACCCTGCTCGATTGAATGCACGGAGGTCACCCCGGAGGTCAGCCAGCCAAGGCCCAGCTTCGAACGTCTTCAGGCAAACATGGAGAGCATAAAGAGCGAAGACGAAAAGGCGCAGAGGCGATGTAAGCACAACTTGGCTATGAATCGGCACCGCGGGTCTTTTGCACGCATGCCGCAGAATTCAGTCGTCGAAGCCGAGAGCGCTCACGGATTTTTCAGTCCGAACCTGGATCATATTGTGCTAAACAGTAGACACGAAGCAGATGAACAATGATGAACATCGACAGCTAGGTCTGCCTTGATACATTGCCGGGCACGCTGACACAAATTGAACAAAAATCTACCATACCACGACATGCCACGACCCGCAAAGCTTGGCATTTCTCAAACGAGCTCAGGGCACCTGAAGAAGCTTCGCCGCCCTAAGCCTTCGTGGAGCCATGCGGAGTGTGCCCGAATCGCCTGTCGAGGGTATTGATATGTTCCAGCTTTCAAGTATCTAGACACGCACAAATGGCATCCTGCAAAGATCAGGCGCACATTCTTACAGCATGCATCTGCTGCAGCTGGAGGTTCAACCGGCAATTGTTGGCAGAGGCAGCTGAAGCGCTCTGAGGACCTTGCGAAGCTCCATCGCCTCTCCCTGTACCACGGAACTGCCGCCCGCGAAAAGGGTGCAGCGAATCGACGTGAAATAACGGGCCTGCTCTGCAGTCGAAACTCTGTAAACAGACGGTCGGTACAACGTGCCTTTGCCTGAGTGTTTGCACCTGCGGTGCTCCACGTCAGCTGCTTTTCCTCGTCATTCCAAACCTTGGCTTCAGAGCGTGCGCAGGAACAATGAAAGCCCTGAGTCCCATTAAACTGCACCGCAGCTACAACTGGAAACAGACGACGCGGCACAGCAATGGAGGCCTACTAGGCAACCATCATGCACAGGATCACACATGGCATCCACCAGCCAACACATGCTAATACAGCTAAGATGCAAAGGTAGTTTTGCGCAACGACCCTGTCTTGTAGGACGTTGTCTCTCCGTCATCCTGCGGGGCAAGGTCACTGAAAGAAGTTCTCTTCCCGTGGCACGGAACTACGAAGCCAATCCTGGTCTCGGAACCTTCTGAACATGCAGGTGGTTCAGTGCGTTCATAAGCTGACATCGAGTCGAACTGGCATAGCTCCGCTTCACATGTTGGAAAAGGCTGGCACTTGTCGTTTCATGCTGAGAGAAAGGAATATGGGGGGAGAGAGAGAGAGAGAGAGACCGCTTTGATATAGCGCCTTGCTACAGGCGAAATGTTCACCGGACTGCGAGAAGACCAGGCAAGAGGATCGCCATATTCGCAGACTGCTTTGCACTGCATTTCTACTACACCAGCCAAGAGTATGGCATAGGTGTAAGGGTTCCTTGCTGGCTACACCGTCTGTCCTGAGAACCCAAGCTTCAAAGAACTCCCAACTGGCGCAACGATGTTTGAGTCTCGAATGCTTGCCAAGGAGGCTGCTCCTCTACTAGAGTGAAGTTGCCATCTGCACCGGCATATACCTCCCACAATGCCACCGAAGTATTGAAGTTATTGCAGACACTTGTGCTTTTTTTGATTACCACCACGTCCACAGTCAACATCAGCGCAGGCTGTGTGTAGGAATGGCCACTGTCTGATCCACACATGCGTGTGCGAACCTGCCTGCACCTCAAGCGGACCCCCAGGCAGGTCGTCTGTGGACTGTACTTGCGGAGCCAAGGGAATTACCTAATCGCACAAGCGACTGCTGTCCACCGCGCTTCACACGCGTAACAAAGGCGAGAAGCAGTTCCAAGTCTCACGTAAGCCGGAATGTTGTCGAGTGGCACCACCTGCAAGAAAATATCGTATTATTTGGTGAGTCCGTACAGAAACTACGGGATGCTTGCCTCCTCGACAGCACTTCGTGGCCCGGTGATGATTTCACCCGCTCGATTGAACGGGTGCCACTGACCCTCGGGAAGATACACTTCAGACTTCGACGCCTCATTCAAAATAGGCGACCTAAGCAAAGCACAAAGAGGAGTTGACAGCAGCACCGACAGTATCAGCATACATAGGTATGCAACAACATGCAAGCCGCATCACGCGTCGCGAGACTTCGTACGACATGCTGCGTTCCCTGACATACCCACGAAGCCTCGCAGCGGCAAGCCGCAACTTGGCGCTCTGAGCTGAGAACACTAGTATTTCTCCGTCCATCCACTGAGATGTGAGGTTGGCAACCTGACACATTCGGCTAGAACGAGAGGCCAACAGGAGCTTCATTGCGAATGTTGGTGATGGCTGAGGTTTGTTTGCATGGTTCAGCTTTCCAACTCGCCGTCTTGCATCCTGCATACACTCTCATTGCTTCCCGCCTTGGGATCCTTGGGGAAGACGGCAGCCAGTGGTCGAATCCAGAGAATGCCAACCGAGTACAGACCTGCAAAAAACTGATCCAGTGGCCCTGTCAAGCCGCGTGGGCTCTTGCGACTGAGGCCGGCACGATGCGCCAGCGAATAATGGTATGGTATCAATCCTTGCTGCCGCTTACCATGAGACCCTCTGCAGCATAAGAACGAGGCTTTCTGGCATCACGTTGCCTACTGTACTGTGGCGGGATCGCGATTCAACCGACTACGTCCTGGCAGCAGACTCAGCAGACGCAACAAAACTTCCGGACGGGCTTGGATCATGTGCTCAGCTCCACTTGGTCAAGTTTCGGTAGCGAAGATGGAGCGCCTCCCGCCTCAAGCAACAAAGACGCGGGAGTCGCAGACAACTCAAGTGAGAGTCGCACATTCACCGAGATCCCACCGAGTCTGGGGATGCCACATCACCTCCGCGGCACGGTCTCCAAAAAGCCACGGCCAGTGTGGCTTGACCCAGATCGCGGAGTGAACTCGCATGATGGGCATGAAAACTCCCACCTGACACTGGAAACTTCAAGAGGCGAAAACAGAACCTTTGCCAGCACGGCCTGGTACCATCTGACCAAGAGCTCTGGAGTCGGCTCTCCAGTGAAACCTGGTTCTGTCTAGTTAAACTTCATGTCACGCTATCACAAGGGCCGTACCTCCAATATCACAGGCCACGTACCTTGGAGTTCACAGTGTGTTGACCACCGCAAACGGCACTGCATTCCTTACAAGTTCAGCTTTGATGCGGTGCTCCGGCCAGGCCCCAGTTCCTGAGGATGAAGAATACTCAAAGCGACCCTGTGCTGACCCGCCCCATGAGTCACCACTCTTCTCGGCAAGGCGCAGAACCATGCCGGGGGTACGAACGAGATCCTGCGAAGTGAGCCAGACGACTGAAAACAAAAGACGACCAACGGCTCCAGAGCTGAAGTTGCACAAAGACAGCCAAAAGGCTACAAAAAGATTTGGCCTGGGTAACCAAGAATGTCGATTACCCAACTAGCTCAACACAAGGCTTCCAGCGCAACCTTGAAAAGAGACTATCTGCAAGCCTGTCGCGGGTGGCAAACCCCAAACCCTAAAACAAAAAGATCCTACTTGGCAAGCCTGAAAGCTCACCACAACCGATTCCACCTAACCTGACCCCTACCCTGACCTAAGCTAGTCCAACCTAGCGTAACCCAACCTAAACCAGACCCCCGGCACAGCCTGACCCGAAACCGAACTTAACCTGACATAAACCCATCTAGACCTAACGTAACCCAACCCTGACCCTGACCCAACCCGAACCAAGCCTAGGTACAAGCTGGAACCCCATGTTTGGGTTTAGGGGCCAAATTGGACTTTGGATTGCCTTGTTGTGGTTTAAGGTTTAAGTCGGACTTTGGATTGCGTTGAGATATGGTTGAGTTAAGCTTTAGGTTAGGCGGGGTTGGCGCGGTTAAAGCTTGGTTGGATTATGTTAGGGTACGGCCGGGGCCAGGGCTAGGTTGGGTCACATTGGACTTGGGTCGGAACTAGGCCATTTTATGTGGAACTGTGGGCGGTTGGGTTGCAAAAAATTGGATTACGTCCGGGGTGAGGTGAGGTTCACTTCGGGTCAGACTATGGTGGAGTGCGTTGTTGGGACGATGGCAGGGGTTGCGCTAAGCTCGGTGTCAGGTCCTGTTGGGTTAGGTGGGTCAGCTTGGGTCCAGGCTTGTTTGAGTTCGATTAGGTCACGGGGTGGGTTTAGGTTGGCTGCGTTAGTCTGGGTTGGATTCGGTTGGGCGTTAGGCTGAGTGGGCTCAAAGAATGCTTGGGATAGGTTAAGTTCCGAAGAACTTGGAAGGGCGTCCAACAAACTCGACAAAGAAAGAAGAACTGTGAGATGTAGCCCCGGTATGCTTGGCGGTGTAATCAAAAAAGGATGCGGACGACCAATAAGATGAAGTGACACGGTAACCAGGCATGAACACGAACAGACTCTTCAAGCGATCATGCACACTGGGCGCCGCTTGTCTGGAGGTGGCCACCCGTTTCTTGCGCGCCCATCCGTTTACAAAATCACAAAACTGCGTCTTAAAGTTCAGGACACCAAATCGAGTATGCCTAGTTTCTGCGGAGCTTCCACCCCAACTGACCACCGGCCAGCGGGGAGGAATCCCTCGGCCCAGGGGTAAGCCACAGTGTGCTGGCCCGACCCTTTTCCGCGACCCCCACTTTCAAAGCACCAATAGGATAAGTAAGTACTTATATGGGGGGCGGGGGCTCAGGAAATCTTATGTCTGCATACGTACAAGAGTCTAAACATCCCAGAGCAAATATTATCTGCTCCAAGAGTCGGGCCGCAAAGGGCCAGTTTTTGCTTTGTAACAGCACAGGTCTGAACACAGAGGCATGTTTCGAGTAGGATGCACATGCTTATTGCGGAAACGACTGAAAGTCTGTGCGTGTCAAAAACTTTGGTCTTGAAGGCAACATCTTGAGAAGCATGCTCTAAGCTTTCCAGCTTTTCGAAGTGCTCGACAGCAAAGTGAAGAAAGAAGGATTGAGTTGGAGATGCACGCTTGGTATTATTTCCGAGTTGCGTCCACCGAACTCAGGCGGAAGGAACTGAACCTACCCTAGTTTCACCCAAACCCATCCTACCCCAGCCTTCGGCAATCCACCTCGACCCATCAGCCAAGCTTCTCCCAGCTTACACCAACCAAACCCCGACATAGCCTGACCCAACCGGTTGGGCTGACCCAAGCCAACCTTCCCCACCTGGCCCTGCCCAACCCGTTTGCATTGGCTTGGGATGTTTTTAGATCAGCTTGGGTTAGGCCAGTTTGGTGCCAAGTTAGGAGAGCTCAGGTCAAGGTTGGGTTGGGCTAAGGCTGAGGGCTATGTCAGGCCAGGGTCGGGGGTGGGGTACGCTAGGCTTGGCCCAGGTTAGGTTGTGTTAGGTTAGGTTGGGTTACGTGGGTTGGGTGAGGATGAATTGCATCCCTTTGGAGGTCCCTTTTTGGGTACACTTGGCCCAGGTTAGGTTCGGATAGGTTAGGTTGATGGATTGGGTCAGGTGGGTCAGGCTTGGGGGGTCAGGTTAGACTGCGATCGAGATTAGGCGAGCCGGGATTGTGCTAGGCCGGGTCAGGTTTGGTTAGGTCCTGGTTGGGTGTAGGTTAGGTATGGTTAGGTAAGGGTTCGGTTGGGATACATCAGGTTAGATTAGGTTAGGCCAGCGCCAGGTTAGGTTGGGTTAGGTGGGGTTGGGTGGGGTTCAGGATGGTAATCGGCTTTCGGTTAAATTGCCTTACGTCAGGTTGAATCAGGTTAGCTCCGGTCAGGGTCGGTTGGCTTGACCTAACCCTACCAACTTACCAAAAGGTAGGGTCCCAGCTAGTGCCAAAGCTTCAGCCAACCCACCCCAACCTAACCCCAAGCGAAGCAAACGCGCGACCTAATCCAACGAAGCCCAACCCAAGGCAACCCAATGATCCAACCTACTAGTAACATAACCTAACCCGACCCACCCTCAGTTAATCTAAAGCAACCGAACCTCCCCCGAACTCAATCGAACCACAGGTTACCCGACTCCACAAGACTGTCGCATTGGCTGCGTTCGAACTTAACTCGACCCAAATTCAAGCAAGATGAAGCAAGCTAACCCCCTGAAAGCCGAAGCCACCTAAGCTAACAGCTGACCCAAGGCAACCTACCAGAAAACAGTGCATTTCCAAGATCCGAGGACCTTTGTTGGCAACTGTGTGTCTTGCTTGGTTTAGCAATCCGTCTCTTGGTTGTTGTGGAATCTGAGCGTTTCGTTGAGGCAAGTGGCATGTTGGTCGTGCAAGCTGGCTTGGCTGAACAGTCGGTTCTGGATCGCCAAAGCTCCACCGCACGAAAGAACGATGACTAAGGACAAGAAACATCGCGGTAATGCAGCAGTTGGAAATCTGTTTTGGCTGTTGTCAGGAACAATCATGCACATGATTTTGAGGCCATCCTGCATTTCTTTTCCGTCCTGTCTGCATACCAAACAAAAGGTCTCTCTGACTCACGCCACAGCTCTGGTACGCAGTTCCCCGCGATTGCCTGCCACGAAGAGTCGATGTCACCTGTCCACACGCCGGCTCCAAGCCGCGCGAGGCCTGGAGTGAAGGCACCTCGCCGCGTTTTCGCAAACTGGGGAACTCCGATGCCAGTCCAAGGCCAGCGCGATTCAAGGAGAAGAAGCGCTGCCCAGGCTGGCACAGGAGCACAGGAGGAAGATACATCAAAATTACATTTCATTACATCATTACACTCACGAGAGACCACCTGTGTCTCTTCCAGGATGTCCTTCTCTGCAGCGTTCCATTCGTGGTACGTGTAATACGAATTCTCGCCTTCCTCAAGTCAAGTGACGAGACTTGCAACAGCTGGTCAGCCTGCGAAGCAAGGCACATCATTCCACCAGTAGGCGATGCCGGCTTGCAAGTAATGCCTTGCTGACACATCGTCGCAAAAACAAGAAACAACTCGGAAAAAGATGCAACTGCGGCTTGAGGCCAGGAGCCGCAGCTGCGTTTTGTACCAGCTGCGCAGGTCGGGGTTCGAGAACAACAGCCAACGTCCATGCGCGTAAGTCTCTGGACCACCTGAGCATGAATCACATGCAGAGCTGCTCTCCGCCCAAGAGCTGTGAAGTTGACATATCCCAGGCTCGGATTCCCCGATTCTTGCCGGTGAAATGATGCTTCTGCCACTAACACTAAATACCAGTACAGGACATCTGCAACTACGAAACCTAACAACAGAAAGAGCTCAGATCCGGGTGGATTTCAGGAAGTGTCAATGATTGCTGGAACAGTCAGGCAGCTCTAGATATCTATCCCAAGCACTGTGCAGGATAGTCTGAAGCTGATTCGAAAAAACTACACATGGCTCTTGCCTTCAGGCAAGATCCATCGATTCTCGCGCATCTTTTGCAACAGCTCCTGATTGATCTCGCTTGCAAAGCATCGGACATGCAAGAGCTTGACCGCACTCTGACGTGGAGACCAGACACTGCTAAACTGTTGGTTCAACGAAAGATCGGCAGAAGCAATTCTGCACAAACAATACGAACAAGTCGCCGGGATTTGGTGGAAAGCTCGACGCTAAAAATAATGTCGAATAGTGTCAACATGTGCCGGTCGTTGGTTAGGCGAGGCAAGATTAGACAGACACTGCTCACAAGTGAGTTCTCTTGGTGGAAGGCCTTGATTCGCGATACCAGTCTCGTTGGGTCGGGATCTGTAGGCTTCCGGAGACTCTCACTAGTACGAATGCCACGCGAATCAGAGCGATTCTACGTGAGAACCCACTTCGGCCCGAGGCTCCTGATTGCCCAGGCGAGGCTTCCGAATGCCAGCCACACGCACATGGAAATCCTTGGCACAACATGGATCAGCAGCTCCTGCTCCGGAAGATCGGGAAATTCTGAGATGCTGTCTGATCTGTACTTCTCGAGCTGACGAGTGGGGGATGGAAACAGCTCGGGATTCCAGCCGAAGTCATTGTACCAGGGCTGGCCCTCTGGCGAAAAGTCGTAGTCGGATGTGTTGGCAAACCACTCGAAGTCAACGATGATAGAATCCTCAGACCAGTCATGAAGGACAATCCTCCGAGCATCTCGGATCCTTGTGTCAAGTGCCGAGCTGCAAGGGGAAAGCCACCAGCACGAAACGATTTCAGGGTCTCCTCGACGTAGTCCCCATCTTCCCAGCCCCATCGAGAAGCCAGAAAACCAAACGCATGCCTAAACATGCAAAGCACCAGATCACACCGGACGAGAAAGTCTGTTCGAGTTTAGCTGCCAGCAAGATGCATCGGCGGGACTGGTGGTCGACCTATCAACGACAAGTAGTGCCGGCTTCCTCGGTCGGCTGCTTGGAGGTGCCCAGCCCCCAAAGCTCACAAAAACCAAACATGCAAGAATTCGGCAACCGCAGTCCTTCGAGCAGCGAGGGAGCCGGCATAAGATATATTTGGAAGTCTCCGGAGAAAGACCATACAAGGTAATCGCCAGTGGCCTGGTACCTGGCTGCTAAAGATGCTCAAAACAGGCAAGTTGATAGCCCCAAGCCAACCCTGCCTCACCAGCAAACGGTCGAAGCGGCTAGCAGCCGTGTGCCCAAGGGCTGCGTAACCATCGGCTGTGTAGTAATACGGCACGAACGTCTCGCGATTTGCCTGAAGTAGCTCCCGCAGACACTGAAGTGTCATCTTGTCATCTACGCATCGAGCAACTGAGCGAAGCCAGGATGCAACCCGACCAGTGGCACCGCTGCGCTGTAGTGAAGTGGCCACTTTTGGGCCAGCCCCACCGCCAAACACAGATGCAGATGTGGAGTTGAATGCCAGGAGACCTGGACTCCTGAGGTCAGCTGCATGTGACGGTGGACCTTGCCCTCTCGATCCGCCTCCCCCAAGTGGTACCAGAAGCAGCCTCCCAGCCTGGCGTCGAAAGCTTTCACTCGGCCTCTTCGGCCCCGGAGGCTACTGTGACAACTACTTGAAGCCGCCGCTGCTCGCAAACACGCCAGTCCAGTTTCACCACAGCTTGAGCATGCCCTACCAATGACGTGCCTAGATAGACCCGTGTCGCAGGCCTGATGCATCTTTCACGAGAATGCCTCAGTGTCCAAACGCTTCGATGTGCTCTTGCCTCGAACAGAAACACTTCAGCACCCTGAACGCACATCCGAAACACTCGCGCAGCACTCCTTTACGAGTTAGCACAGCATAGGAATTGAAAACACACCGGGCGGTGCTTGTTCGCTCTCGATCTGCTTTCCTGCGAGAAGACCGCAAGTTTGAAGTCCCTAAGGAAACCAAACATCCAGTACTGCGACGTACTTGCGGCAAAGAAATTGCTCTTCTCTCAGCAAAACACTGCTGATCACTGCTGTAGAAGCTGTATATCGCCATGGAGTAACACCGCTGAAAAGCTCGCATCGCCAGCAAAAACACGAACCGGGGTTAACCCCACTTCCAAGTTCCTCTGAAACCCGAGCCGGGCGCAGACACACGAAGTTAGTTTCACGGCGCGACGCTTGTCACTGCAGGCACAAGACACAAGGGCCCCTCGCAACAAGTTCGGCTTAGCCGACGGGACACAAACTAGAGTTTGTTCCGGAATCCTGCTTGTGGTACCACTACCCGAAGGAGGGTCAGAGTCGAGGGCGAGCTTCATCACTGCTCGGCCGTCTCCTCTCCTTCAAGGTCCTGGAGTCCTACCCTTCTTTGGAACCTGGTGGGAGCGATCTCTTTCTCCACATCCTGCGCTGTCCAGCTCTTATCCACTACATCTCACGGATGCGAGGTCTTTCAGCGCGTGATTCCTGAACTCGTCGGTGCGAAACTCTAACCTTCGCACTGTCTTCGACTGCTCGCAGCTCGTTTGCCGGTCATCGTCCGTACCGGGTCCGCATTTGCCCGAAGAGTTGATCATCTGGTACCGCCAAGAAGATGCCTCGTACAAGCACAAGCCGGAGCATTGTCGGCTCTGTGCCCTGCTTGAACTGGCGAACTGCGGCGTGTCGTATGTGACCAACTCGACATCCCCGACCTGCACGGCCAAGGTTCGGCCTGCATCGCGAGTCCGTAGATGCCGAGACCCATGACATTGGCATCAACGCTGGCTGGAGCGCTTGGAGCTCAAACCCAAATCTACCAACGCCAAGGAATGAAAAAGGCAAGTGCGGCACTGTGCTCCGATGTTTTCCGCTTTACGCTGCGTTAACACTGAGGTTGTCTAGTCAAGGGTATTGAGTATGACACCTACAGCCCCGTGCTTTGCAGTCGAAACAAGCCGTTCCCTCTCGCTCCCTGCACAAAACTCAAATTGCCTGCTGGACAGGGGCTGTGACGAGCAACATAGAGAATGCATAGGCCTAGCCCCAATGCCGTACGGCGAAGACATAAGAACCAGGTAGCCTGTTCACATCTCCCTGGCAACATACACTGTAGTTCGAAAACCGCAATTGGCCACAGTGCTTGTACAACTTGGATAGTGAACCCCGCCTGAGAGTCTTCTTAATTGCCTTTCTCACTCAGTGTTTTGGTGTCAGTTGCTTATCCTTGTTGAACGCATAGAATTTCTGCTTCTTTTTTACCCTCTGGGATTCAAGGCCAAGCACTCTCCCCGAGAAGTCGAGTACAAGCCACAGCCTCCCAACCCAAGCAGTCTCCTCGTTCTACTGGATGGAGATTGTCGAGACAGACTGTCTCTGCAGTTTCTCAACATTTAACAGATCAGGATGCTGAGCCGGGCGGCAATTCGTGCCGTCAAAAGCCCAGTCGGTGCAGTTGGACCGAGCACGGCAGATCTGGCAGCAGGCTCCTGACAGTGTCCATCGCATAGCTCTGACAACATACCACAACGCCGGAAAAGCGGCAGCGCCGTGCTCCTGCACTTGCGGCAGGCAGCTCTGCAATCTGCTGACCACCCTGAGTCATGACAACCGTGTGGATCAGCAAAGCCCCATGATGCGGAGTATCGCTCCCCGCTCTCAACATCCTAGGAAGGGGTGATTGCTTTCAACAGACCGACATCGAGCTTCGTGCAGGTGCACTGCGCGCCTGTGGACGACCGCCAACTGCTGCGCAGCTAAGCTGGCCCAGAGGCAGCGACTCAGTAATCACGTCACCACTGGGGCCGCGGAGGCGAAGCTTTCCTGGTCTGTGCCGTGAGAAGTGAGAAGAAGTCTCAGACAGGCTCTCAAGTGGACTGCGCGCTCCTTCGCTGCTCACAGCGATCGAACCAAGGCCGGGAGAATCAATGCCCTCGGTAACACTTCTCACAAAATGCCTGTGACAAGCGTGCTTTGCACTTTCGCTTCTGCAAAGAGTACAAGAAAGTCATCGATCTCCTTCAGCTGATATCGATCACATCATCTTGCGCAGAGCAAATGCGCCATGAGGCGTGGCATAAGAGGCAGCAGTGCAGCCGAGGAAACCTTCTCATCCGAGTGGATTCGCAGAGAAAAAGGAGCATCAGCTTCTTCTGGCTGTACCTGCAAGCTGCGAGGCTCACAGCACGCAGCCCTGCTTCGGAGCTGCTCGCTTCCCTGCCTCCCATGTCTCTCGCGGATCAGCACCATCATAAAGAAAGCGAACCCGAAACGAAGATGCACCTCGCGTGGAAAGGCCAAGCCGTCCACCTGAGAGCCACAAAGCCCCTTGTAGATCATGCAAGCAATCGTGAAGCTCAAACTTGACAGCCGCTGTTTTGGAATGTGAACATCAACAATGCTCCCACTTATTAAGCCCCTGGCCAAGCGGAAGTTGCACGATGTGCTCTTCACAAACACTCTCGTGTAGGAGACTTAATACCTCAGTGGAAATTCAAAACTGACGCGCAACAGACAACCAAGAGGCTGCTTTCTCTTGCCCATCCATTGCCGGCATGCGTCGATAGCGGCGACAGCAAATCGAATTTCCATTTCTGCGGCTTGCACGAGGCCCCGGATGCGTAAGATATGAAGTGCGGATATTGCACAACCTCTAGCCGCTAGCTTTCCAAAACTAGGTCGTCATGCATGCGTTCTGGAATGGCATCCGAGATCAAGATCACGTGAGGGGATAAGATTGTCAAAGCATGGAATGCAGGACAGCGATGGGTGTTCGCTTCGCGGATCCTTGAACAGATGATGCCAGGAGCCAAGCAAGCTTTAGGAATGAAAACTGATGCTCGCACTCGTCGCACCTTTCCATGACCAAAGAATTCCCTAGACGCTCCAGCCTGACCATTTGGAGAGGTACCAGAACCCACACCTGACAGGAGGGCCGGTCAGGTGGAAGTGCTCACAAAGATTCGTCGTCCGCCAAGCTTTCTTGCCGCGGTCATCTGCCCAAACGCTGCTTCACCGACTAGCGTCAGGAGTCTCCACAGGTGCTTGAAGTGGAACGCCGTGAAATCACTTGCAGCAAGCAGAGGTCCAGCAACTGCTAGCACTGCTAGCACTCCCCGAGACTCAGATCCACCGGGTCGACGATTGCCACGAAGTCCAAGCCCGGTACCATGCTTCACTCAACCAAGGCTTGTGGTTACTAAGGCAAGGGCACGCCCGCCTTTTTCAAGTCCTGCAACAGACATGTGTACAACTCCGATGGCAACAGCGAATGTTGTTACTTGTGCTAGCTCGCAACGATGATGTCAATGCGGCGATTAACGAACAAGAAGCGGCGAGGTGGTAAAAGCAGGTCTTGGTCGATGTCCAAACGGAAACAGAGAGAGCACAAGAAAGAGCAAGATGCTTCATACACCAAGGTTTCAATTTATGCCTGAAGGAATGATTGGTAGATGCAGCATTTCAGAATGGAGTCGGACGACCTATTTTTCAAGTGCCTGCAAGAATGCCTCTGAATTCTGACAGCTCTGACTGTGCCTCTGCCAAGGCTCCCGGTGCGGCCGTTTTGGCATTGAAGCAAAGGCCCTGGAAGCCCAGGGCCCGGGCGGCCGTCACGTTCTCCACCTCGGAAGACACGCCCAAGACACACAGCACCAAGGATTCCCGGAAGTCCTTGTCGTCCACGAAGATACAATCAGCTGCTGTCAACCCTGCACAGAGTGCAAGAAACGCACAAAAACAATCAACTACAGCGAAAGACCATCATGAAACCTGGATGCTGTGTATGCAATCGCTCCAGGAAAAGCTCAAAGATCCGATTGCCAGGCTTGGAGCAGCCCACCTGCGAATCACAGAAGAGACTCTTTAAGGCCTTAAGCCTTAGGCTGCATCACCGCCTCGGAGCTGACCAGGAGCAACTCTGGTGCGACCAGGTCTCGCAGCCCACAAGGAGCCGCACACTCCTCAAAAGGGAGCTCAAAGCAAACAAAACGAGAAATGCCAAACGAAGTCGAGCAAACCCTTTTGGCACTCCGCTCCGTCCTCATGAAACCAGAAACCTAAGTGGTTCGAAATGACACCGAGCACGATGCCCTCATCGCGGGCAATCTTCAACACCTCCAACGTCTCGGAATAATGACCTAGCGAAACAACCGAGGTCTTGGGAGAATTCTGAGTGTGTGGTGCACTGGTGCACTAGGAAACACTTAACTGCCAATCTTGCAAACTCGAACTGCGCGAAGACAAGCTTGGCAACAAAGCACAGACTGTCGCATTTGCTGCAGTCGTGGATCTTCGCAGGGTGCCACATATGTCAGCATCAGCTTCCTTTTGCGGCAAACTCACATCACTTGATCTTGAACGACGAATCTAAGCGATGCAGAATGGCTGAACAATGGAATAGCGTTCACTTCCTCAGAAAGTGCGCCGCAGTCGCCCCCTGCAACTCGCAAGCCCGTTCATGCCCCAGCTTCTTTCACAGAAGACGGGTCCAGACCGCTTGATTCACAAACCATCTGCCAGAAGCTGTCCTTCGATCGGTTCACATACACATGCAAAGAACACAGCTGCCAACTCGACAACACAGGTCGAGGCAGAATTCTTGCAGGGATGCACGCCCTCGTTTCAAGCTAGTTTGGAGGCATTCTGTCATTAAAGAGACCTTGTCCTTGGTGACTGCCGGGTTCTCCTTGACAGCATTCCACGCTGCTTTGGCCGCCTGCAGACCCAATGGTCTCGGTTGACCGCTTGGCATCGGAAGGGATTTGGGGGTCTCAGCGCTCCCTTAAAGCCTTAAGGATCATTGCCAGCACCACATTAACCCGAAAGCAGCCTGATTGTTGGAAGCCCCTTACAAACTTACTGTTTGGGTGTATATTCAATACCCAAAGCAGGTTAGGGTAAGCCTGGCACATGCAGAAACCCTAGAAGCCCTATGCCCTAAAGCCCCAACCAAATTCCCCCGGATGGCCTTACCACCCAAACTCTATTTAAAATCATCCACATTGCCCAAGCCGGCTGCGATCCAGGCTCTCAATGGATGCATAAGCCTGTTTTCTTGCATGTGGTGCTTTCGCTGCTGTTGATTAACTAGACGCAGAAAGCATCCAGCCCTGGTCGGTGGCCCTCTCAGACCGCTTGGCCCCACGACGGATCACGTACTCGTAGTTGTCAATGAGAGCCTACATGTCTCGCGGTCTGTAGCGGAGAAACTTTGCGAAGCCAGGTCGAAGCCAGGTGGACTCGGCACACCACTCGACTCGAAGGCATCTGGGAAGCTTCCTTATGCTATCCCGAGTTGTTCCTCACATGCCTTCGCCTGGTGTTCCTCAACAGCGCGGCAAGCATCGAGACCTTTTGGGACTGTCCCGGTACCGCCTCTGGAATCAACAATCGCCTGGACCATCTGCTGAAACTGAGATCTCGTCGGTCATGCTGCACGGCGCAGGATTTGTTTTTGTCCAATGGACGCTGTCTCTGAAGTCTAGGCCATGCAACGCAAAGATTCCGAGGGCTTCAGTTAAAGCCTGAGCGGTTTGACCTACTGAACCGACACGAGCCGAGGCGAGCAGAATCTCAGGGGAACTAAATGTTACACGAGGACTCGCCAGGGATCAGGTCAACCCTTGACCCATGGTTACAGCTACAGCGCGAATTGCCACTGGCCCCTCCGACCTTTGCAGCATCGTCTGAGATTTCTGAAGGCACTCGACGACGAACTGCCTGAGGCAGTCACAGCCAGTCTGTGGGTGTTGTCGGACAGTAAGACGCCACAGCAGTTGCTGGAGGGTTCTTTCATATGCGTTTCAACATTTCTGAGTCGGCTGTGTCATCTGGATTGTTGCAGTTATCAAGAAGCCGCCCATTCCTGCGTCTCGCATCTGAGAAATACATTCTCCTTGACGACACGCCCGTGTAGGGCTCTGTCGGTACTTTGGTCGGAAATCCATAATGTCAGGTTCGAGAATCGGATCAGATGACAAAAGCGGGGACTGCAAAGCTACACTGCCACAGTCACCTTAAAACCCCATCGGAAACGATATTCAAACAAGTTCAACCTGCCAAACACATCCCCACCCAGGTCAGCAAGACTGAGCTCCCTGAAAGCTTTACTAAACGCTTGTTCGTGAACTCTCACATACTCTCTGTGCAGCCAAACATCGAGAATCTTGGAAAATGAGACTGGCAGACCCTGGACGGCCGACACGAAACGGCCAACACTGCAAACCCTATGGCTGAGCCTTTTACCCTTGTCACACCCAGCTCGACGTGAGCTGATCTAAACAAAAAATTTCGCAGCCCACCAATGGTCTCCCAAAGCAAAAGAGTCAACCGAGTCGTCAAAGACCGCGGAGGTAGAGACACACACCCCACACATCAGCCTTAAAACTTAAAACCTCAATCAACTACAAATACAAATAACCTCCGCCGCCAAACAATGTCGACAAACCCCACGCCCCACGAGCAGTGATCACGCAGATTCGGCCGACACGAATTCGATGCACCGTTTCCTGCATAAGTGAGGTTTGGGTGACTGACCCGGACCGCTTCTGATGATCGCCATACTTCACCGGACGCCGATCGTTTTGCGGGGATCTACCTGACAACAAACATTTGCTAGATTAACGCTCCAGCTGAAGCTGCAGCCAATAGCTACACACCGCCATTAACTTCATCTGCACAAATAAATGTGTGGCAACATCGGCTGGGGTTGCACTATTCTGATGCGAGTGCACTTGCTTTCACAATCAACGGATTACACCGATGGCTCCACATTCATCCCAACCAAGCACCTCTTTCAAACCCGAGTCTGGATGGGTGACTCCACCGCAGTCAACCACCACACAGCGCAACACCATGGCAAGTGCCCCGCAAATTCGTCGAGTTGTGCCCTTACATGTGCACTGCTCTGCGGAAGGTGAAACTTCGACTTTGGGCTTTGGCTCTGTGAAATCAGTGTAAGAAGTGGAGCTGCAAGCACGACGGCTAGCAGATAGAACATGTGTTTCAACCACGGCAGAATAGATCTGATCGTACAACAACAGCACCACACCGACCTCCGCATGGATAGAAACCAAGAGCTGCAGGCCTTTCGACGCGAAGTGCACGCTTGTCCTAGCCCTCACGGGGGAGCCACTTCTGCTGACAAAAGCACGGTCGGCCCGGCCCCATGTTCTGCAGAGTTGGCTTCGGACCTCCGCACCTCAGCGACAAGCCACACACATTAGCTGCAAGTTCTGACCATGGGATACAATAGATCCATCAGGCACAGGTTTTTTTCGGCCCGGCTGATCATGGTGGTGGTGCATATACCATGCACGCCCGGATTAAGCATTCGCGTCTGAGCAATGCGCCGCCGGCAGCTGCTATTCCGCGCAAACTGCAAGTCATTGCAGGTTGGGCAATTCCAGTCGCCTCACGTGCATCCCATGCATGCAAGCAATCGTTACAGAACAACCACCAAAGGAAAGCACGGCTGCCTTGCCTGGACGGGCCTTCTCTTTGTTGCTTGCCATTTTGCCCCTGTCACGCCGATGCAACGACGGTCTTGGATCATAAGCATTCTCCACGGCCTACAAAAGCTTAGCAACCAGCAAAGCTCTTCCTTGCGATTCCTATCGGAAGTGGTCCGCTAGCAAAACGCACGCACAGCGCCTCTCATGCCTGCCAGCACCCCCCTGGATCCCACCCACCCTCCCCACCCAGATCTCGGCAAGAAAAGTCTACACAAGCAGTCTGCTGCGAAGCTGCATGCAAGCTGATTCAGCCAACATCTGAATTTGGAGACATGCAGTCATGCACATGCAGCTGGAAGGTCCCAGAAGGTACAGCCTGTATGAAGCCCTGTCATCACATGACCCATTTTGCGCGTGCAGTCTCAAATCGGATCGTCAGATAAAGTTGCTGTCGACAAAAATTCACCCTGCGGACTCATGAGTTGTGGCATGGCTTCGGAAAGCTACGGTACCGAGACAGCATTGGACAATCGCTGGGCCGAGGCCAGGCAGAAATGCTGCAGAGGAATGGCATAGAATGACATCCCGGCCGCCCCTTCCGCACCCCCGCCGGTTACACTACGACATCCCCGGCGCCTCATCCCATTCCCTCGCTGCCGATGCTTAGGTTTGTTCGGGTGTTTGGGCTGAACAACGCCGAGCAGAGGCGGACCATGTGCCGTCTGTCAGCTCAGTGCATGGCTGTCAACCATGACATCCGCAGTGAAAGCAGTAGGCGTTGCAACAAGCTTTGCTCAGCCGCTACTTGGCACAGACGTGGCAAAGACTTTCCCATAAAGCACTGAAGACTTGACGGTCATCATGCAACTGCTAGACCGTGCTTCGAGCCAGTAGTCAGCTACAGTATGGGCTTGCAAAGCGATTCCTGAAGCAAAGACCGACGGCATCTAATTGTGAACCAGCATCGTGAGACGTTTTTGCAACGAGCGAGGGTCATATGGCATCCAGGATGCCCTGCGTGACCAATTTGTGGAATGGTGAGACAGATCCACCGCTGAATCAAAGCTCGCTCGCCACAGGACGTGGAGCGTACGGATGCCCCTTGGAAGGCACTTGTATCAATGAAATGGTAAACAACCCGTGAACGAAGAGGTTGGAGTGGTCATCGGGTGGGCGGGGGCTGTCTGGAAAAAGGCAGTATATCGCGCACGTCCGCAAATGGGGTAAAGACTTGGACAAGGCACGAAGCCATCACCAGGAGGAACGGGATCTGCCAGGGTGACCAACCTAGGTCAACATGGCACTGTTCACAGAAGCAGCCCACCGAGAGCTTGGTTTCCCAGAGCGAGTAACTGAAAAACTCCCACTTCAGACTCAGGCTCGACGGCTTTCTGCCGCACTATTCAAGCGTGAAACATGGGAACAACCGAGAACAGGGTAAGGCAGCTCAGCCTGCCGCCCACTGATTAGCTGCATTTCTGTCCGAGGCAATTCGAAGCCCAGTGCTCCCAGATTCTCGCGGACATGCTGGCCCCTGACAGAACGGAGACTCACGAGACATCTCCTGGCCCGGCCCGGCACTCGCCTATCAGCATGAAACACCACCGCCAGCCCGAGCTGAAGAGCCCAGCGTATCAGCACCTCGCAGCGGACAGAAAAAAAGCACGCTCCAGCCTACAGCAGCGCGGCTGCCCAGCGCGGCTGCCTGCGCGCTGCTTCGGCCAGTCCGCTCCGCGATCGCAAGTACCTCAACCGGAAGCTGTGTGGGAGAAATCCGTCCTGCAGCGCTGCCGTTGCAATACGGATTTCTGGGCCCTTTCGATCCAAGGACGTGGGCACGTGAGGATCATCAGTCGGACGGAGCGGGCGTGGCCAGTCTGACAAAAGCCTGGAGTCCGAACGGAGTGCCCACAGAAGTTGAGAAAAACAACCTGTTTGCAGCCGTCCATGCAGAGCTGAATCTATGATCAATCTGCTACCCTGGCCCAGTTGCAGCCAGTGCGACAAAGCGTTGGCCAAAGTCCCTGCCCAGTGGCACTGCACCACAACACATCAAGCAAGTTCGACTCAAGGTCGTCTCTGTTCCCTATCCGCGTGATTTGCTCTTTGATCCAGATCTGAAATGGCATCTGTGTGGCGCTGCTCGTTTCCAGTTACATCGAAAAACTCGCTGAACCAGGCCCTCGGATTTCTTCAGCTGCAAGAGGACACTTGCAAGCACTGACCGGCGGAGAAGTGGCGTCTGAAAATGTCTTTCGCACCTCCATGTGTTGCGCGACGGCCCGGGACCTAGGTCGAAAGAGTCACGTGTGACGGAGGAGAACGTCGCATGATTTCCCCAATGCGCAGCATCCTTCGTGACTTCGTTCTCATGGCCGAGCAGTACCGAGCATCTTGCAGCCGCAGAAACGTCCAACTAAACTCGGGCTACGACGATAAGGAGTAAAGACCTGAGCCAATGAAGTGCAGCTGCCTCTTCCTAAACCGGATCTAGCGAAGCCTCCCTCACTACATCACCGATACCGTGGCCGTGCTTCAAACCACACGAGTGTTCCACAAGCAGAGTATCCTGAGCTTTCGAACATCGACAAAGATCGGCAGAGAAGATTCCGCCAAGCAGTGATTTTAACCCGCCAGGCTGAGATTTAAGACGCATGTCGAGCCACAGCTTCGAGTAAACTTGCCGACTTGCGAGTCCGTGTTCAACGAGACGCATATTGGATGACTCGGGTACACCGCAGGTCCGTTCCACCGAGTCCGTTGCCCCAGGCCGACTTCCCAAGGGTTCAGCACGCGAGCAGCTGCGACGCTTCTTTGATCATGCGATGTGCTTGCCTGCTCGCTTATAATGTCCATTGCTGGTGGATCTGATCCCTGCTCAGGCAAATTCAGTGCGCTCGTAAGGGATTCAGGACCTGAATCCACCTGGCTTGTGCGTGTGTCAGCCAATTCATACGATACCGGCATGGCGATCAATATGAAGGCACTCCCATGTCTTGGTACGATCTAAGATAAAAACACTCGGCCTGGCACTTATGCCACAGCAATGGAAAGTTAACAGTTTTGCCACTGCATTCGGTAACCGGAAAGTGGGGACTGCAGCCAGAGTTGCAGGAGTCCGAGCATGGAAGCAACACTAACTAGCATGCAAGCTGAATGTCCCAAGCCGCACACGCACTGAGCAAATTCCACACCTGCCCCACGGTTTGGCAAGGCATCCACCTGCTGTCGCTCCACTCGTGCAGATCCACTGAGTTGTGCCTGTCCTGTGCCTTCTGCGGAGTGAAGTCCTTCACGCCGAGCGTGGCGACTCGGTGTTTGTCCCTCAGCCTGCATGCAGCCAGTTCTCCGGAAGAGATGAGCATAGATGGTTTGGCAAGGAAGCCAATGAGACCATATCCTTTAAAACCCTAGGATTCTCCCAACACGGATACGGAGGTTCTTGATGTTAACAGAGTAGCATATCTGATCTTCCGACTTTGTGCTTCAGTTTTGATGCGCCTGTGTGCATCGACTTGGACCTCTGACTAGACCCACCGCATAATCACTTAAGTACGTGAATCGATGAGTAGTTCGCTCGAACTCGTCCCCACCGTAGGATCCAAATCTGCTTTATGTCCGCAGAAGAACAAGACAAGGCACAGAGGATCTAAACCAAAAAGAACTTTTGAAGTTCGAGAACAGAGCGGCTAAAACATGTAGAGTCCGTAGAGCCCAATGTAGAGCGCCAGCCTCTCCAGGTGTCGCCACCTTAGTTTATTTGACATTCTCAATGAAGGGCGCTTCTCCCCGCAATATTGGCTCCAGGCTTTTGAGACTCTGCTCCCTGCAAACAGATGCATGTCGCCGTTGAACCGTGAAGCCATGTCAAATCACTCTTCCGTGCATATGCACATGAATTACATGTTGTGACCATGCTATAAACACACACATATATATATACACACATAAAGAAATACATATATATATATATACATTAATTAATGTATGTAGTATATACATACGTACATATGCTGACATGCTTTTACATGACAGCGATGGACAGTCGTTTTTGCACCGAGCATGCAATGTCCCGAGTCCGCCGTAGGAGACGAGTGACACTGTGCACACTGACGTCAGAAGCAAAAGGGTTGCCAAAAGAGAAGCTTGGCATTCAATGCTCAGCTGCTCTGGAAAGTTAGCAAACTCTTCCCCTTTCAGGGTGGCGCGGGCGGGCCGAAAAGCTGCCGAAGTGCAAAGTGCTGACTGCAATCACTGTAAAAGTCAGCGATGGACAGTCGTTTTTGCA